TAGCAGATGACACAAAACTGGAAGGACTGACTGAACAAGAGGGTCTTTGCAGCCATCCAGAGAGACATGGACAGGCTGGAGAACTGTCTGACAGAAACCTCAACAGTTCAACAAGGGGAAGCCAAGTCCTGCACTTGAGAAAGAACAATCCCAGGTGCCAGGGCATGTTGGGGCCACCCAGCTGTAAAGTAGCTTTATGGAAAAGAACCTGGGTGTCCTGGTGGGTACCAAGATGAACCTGATCCAGAAATGTGCCCTTGCCACGAAGAAGGCTAACAATAGCCTGGCCTACATTAGGCAAAGTACTGCCAGGAGATTGAGGAAGGTGATCCTTCGCCTTTGCTCAGCACTGGTGAGGCCACATCTGGAGTGCTGTGTTCAGTGCTGGGCTACCCAGCACAAGAGAGACATGGACAGACTGGAGACAGTCCAGCAAAGGGACTGGAGCATCTCTCCTATACAGAGAGGCTGAGAGAGCTGGGAATTATTAGCCTGAAGAAGGCTCAGGGGGATCTTGTTATTTATACAAATATCTGAGAGGAGGGTGCAAAGAAGACAGAGCCAGGCTCTTTCTGGTAGTGCTCAGTGACAGGACAAGGGGAAATGGGCACAGACTGAAAGAAGAGATTCCCTCTGAACATCAGGAAACATTTTTTCACTGTGAGGGTGATCAAATGCTGGTACAGGTTGCCCAGAGAGGTGATGGAGTCTCCATCCTTGGAGACATTAAAAAAATGGACATGGTCCTGGGCAAATGGCTCTAGGTGACCTTGGCTGATGAAGGAGGGTTAGATCAGATGACTTCCAGATGTCACTTTCAACCTCAGTCATTTTGTGATTCTGTGAAGGTGTCCTAAGCTTGCATGAATATAAATCAGCTTCTTTCACCATGCTTTAAAAATTCACAGGAAGTAAGTAGTAACCTGAAAGGCCCCAGTAGGAACTGAAGTCCTATGAGACAAAAATCTTAGAACAGTGGAACCCAAAGAGAGAACCTCAGAGAAATACTATGTGGCAGCTGTGAGAAGAGATTGATTCTAGTATTTGACAGGAATTTTTTATTTTGCAAATTCTTTCTGATTTCATGGTCAAGAGCCTACACTTTGGCTTTTATTGGAATAGATTTTTCTTATTAAAGCTTATTGTGTGCTGAGGGTGATTCCAAGCCACTCTGGAAAACATCATCTCAGGAAACAAATCCATATGAAGTGATGTTACATTAAAGAGGTATTACAGATAACTTTTCAGGTGCCTGCCATGCAAGAAAATCCCAAGAACTGGGACATATTTGCTCCCAGGTTTGTTTGGTGGTGGACGGGCAATGTCAAGTGTCAGGAAAGAAGAAAATGTTTTTCCTGGCAGGCTTTGACCAGATTGCTTCTGACGTGGAGCAAGCAGCAGAAAGACAACCCATGATATCAGGTCATCTCACACCGACACGGGGGCCTTTATGCCCAACAGGGTCCATGAGTACTCCTGCAGAAGAAAAAAGCTCAAAAAAATTAACCAGCTGGATGGATTTAGGATTGTTTAATAATGAAGAAGCCTTGTGAGAGAACTGGAACCTCTTAGTCCTCCTACAAGTAGGTAGGACCCCAAAAATTATTTTTTTTTCCTTTCCCTTTTAACAGCTTTGACAGTCCAAAGCAGTTGTGGGTTATTTCAGAGTAAAACTTGAGTACACCCGAAGGAAGCATCTCTTTGGGCTCACCTTCCTCTAATTCCTATTAATGCGGTTAAGTTCATGTCCCTGGGTGGTCGGAAGCAATGAGGTGGTGAAGAAGGGTCTCCAGTGGGTTGTTCGTACCACTCACTACACGTAAAGAAATCCAGTAAGCGCAGCCGTTAACACATCTCGGTGTTGTCTCTGTCATGAGGGTGATGGCCGCCGGGAGGGAAAAGGCTGGAGGTGCTGTGGGTGTATACAGGGAGGGTATGGGGCTGTGAGTGTGGGGATGTGTGAGGGTGTAGGGGTCGAGGGGGCGTGTGGCTGTGGGAGGATGCGAGGGGGTGCGCGGGGTGTGAGTGAATTGTGGGTGTGAGGGTGCGTGTGGTGGCGAAGAGGTGTGAGGGTGTGGGAGACAGTGAGGGTGGGCGGGTGTAAGGGTGTGTGAGTGCGGGGGGTGTATGGACGAGAGCGGGTGTGGGTCGCGGGG